TGTTTGTTTGTTAGCAGGATTACACAAAAGCTACTTAACAGATTTCCTTGTAACGACCAAAGGAAGAAGCCATTAAATATTGGTCGGATCAGTTCAAGGAATTTCTTTCATTATTATCATCCCTAAAATCACAAGTTTGGGATGTTTTCCAATGGTTTTCCAGGGAATCATTCATGGATCTTGACCTAAAATCAGATTCATTTAGACGCCTGATATCTGTGAGTATATAAATATTGGTGCATAGCGAAAATGGATTGTCCGACCAATGAGAGTCGGTCGAACGAGAGCGTATTGACGAACCAATCGAGCGGGAGGCTGCTGCCTCAGTGTGTGTTATGCTCGATCAGTAGTTGTGTCACAAATACATTTCCCTTCTCTCCGAGGGCCCTCGACTTGTCACAATGATGAATGGCCCGAAGTCACAGGAGCTCAGAGCCGAAGAGAACAACAGCAACAACAGACCCGAGCCACCGGCGCTGAACCGTAAGAACGTGTCCATCGACCAGAAGAGTGTTTCATTTCAGTAAATCACAGGTCGAGGTTAGAGATCAGCTGCAGATATATTAATAAATATAATTAATAATATCTAATACTCAATGTTGCAGCTCCTGTAACTTTATCTATAATCACACCTGACGATGTGAAGCGCTCGTATGTTGTGATCGTGTGAAATCTGAATAATCAGACGACGAGTCTTCAGTCTGAGGGTCGAGCTGAACGTGTCTTCTTCTTCTACGTCCTCAGATAAACTACAGCAGCGTGGGTAGTTTGTCGTCTGTGGCCTCGTTTACAATGTTTTGTTTCAATTGTCTGCAATCAAGTCGTCCAGAACCCAGAGAGACGTCTTCAAATGTTTTTATTTTCTCTGACAACCGTCCGGGAAAAATTTAATCCAGTTTTAGATTTTATCAAACAGGAAAAAAAAAGAAGCTAATTCTCACATTGAAGAAGCTGCGACGAGAGAATGATTTTCAAAACGTCCGTTTGAATCCTCGCCTCAGCTGTATTTGTTCATAAATCTGTCCCATGTGACCTTCAGGATGAAGGGAACCATGTCGGTGACACTTTAGAATCCACAGCTCCGCTCGCCTCCTGACGTCACCGCAGGACGGAGGGACACGAGGGTCCGTCGCCTGTGGAGAGCAGCTGGCCTCGAGACTCCAAAGCAGACCCTCCATCGGCTCCCTGAGGCGACCGGGACTCAAACATCCAGCCTGTCCAACCGCTGCTGGGCAGGATCAGAGCTCACAGGAGGGACCTCACCAGCGCCACCATGTGGTCAACACCGCAGGCTACATCCACCACTGAACCTGGGACAGTCACCTGAGAGAAACGTTACACAACTTAGGGGAAACGTTCGCTTTCCAGATTCAGATACTTCCACGTACCGAGTCGGAGGAGTTCCATATGTTTGGTTGTATTTGGGTTTTGTTTTTAATTATAGTTATTCTTAATAAAGTCTAAAGGTTAAACTGTGAAAACAAAATCAAGCCTCAGCAACGATGATAACGACATCTTAGGAATTATTACCAATTTTAAAAATATATATTTATCCACAAATAGATTGGTTTCAGAAGATTGTGCTCTCTCATATCAGCGTCGTCATTTGTATTTTACGTTGATGATCCTATTATGTGTAAATGTTTCACATGATAACAACTGGTTGTTAAAATGTTGAAGTTTTGCAGTTTTTATATTCGTATGTTTCTTTTCACACAGAATAATCGTAGAGATTCAATGTGTGCATCCTTTTCCCTCTTCGCTGTGTATCAGCTGCACGTTTCACTCTTTGTTTGCAGGACTAATATTGAGACGGTGTCATCTTACTCTCCATGGGAAGAACTGGTCGTCTCTGCTCCCGATGCCCAAACAACCTCTCACATTCTTCCCCCAGACGAAGAGCTCGCCGCGATCTGCAACGCAAGCATCAAACATGAGCGCGCTGTGAGAGCGAGCGCCCGCTGAGCCTCGACACAGAGCAGCTGCAGCCGGGAACAAGCTCTGCCTTTTTAGACCCATCGTCTCATCACGAGTCACACTGAACGTGATGATGGAGAAAATAACAACAACCCAGATTCATAACATTCCTGCATTTGTCTACAAACTACAAGGCCGTGTTGTTTATCATATTGTAGAATATTAGAAAAGATAAGGTTTTCTCTCTTTAACACCTCAGACTGGATGAGACTGAATGTCTTTGGGGTTTATGTGGACACATAATCTGAGGAAACTCCGGAAGTGGACAAACTAGCTCTTACCTGTTACTGCAGCAAAATGTGAGAGGCCACATCTGATCCTGGTGACGGCGACCGACGGGTTGAACTCCGAGCGTCCAAACAGCGTGGAGGGAATCATCTCCGGGGTCGACGATTCTGACAGATTTGGACCTTTTCCAAGAATCCCATATCCCCAAACAAACACCTCTCCTTTATCTGAGAGACACGGGTCCATGTTAAAACATCGGATATTCATGAACGGGCGGGATGTTCAATAAATACAACAGAGACGTCAGGTCTTCTAGTTCACGTCTGTCCCAGACTCAAAACTAAACACGGAGGAGCAGCGTGAAGTTTTCATGCTCCACACATGTGCAACACGCTCCCCGAGAAGTTCAGGTCTGTTTACACGTGGACATTGATGCACGTGTGCTGTTGTATAAACTGACCGTTGAGAATAGCCACCTGCGTCCCTCCACACGCCGCCTGAACCACCTTCCCACAGCCTCTCAGAGGAAGACGTCGAGGAGAGTTGATCTGCGACATGAACATTCACAGGAGTTTAGTGAGAGAATATCTGGTTGAATTTTCAGCAGCTCTGTCTTGTACTGTGGCCGAGACGTTTCACAAGTGAGACGTCTCAGCCACTGATCTCGTACATGTTGTATTTGGGGGCAAGCCGAAGACCCAATCCTTCTTTTTATGTCGTTTCCTTTATATCAAAATGTTTAAAACATCGTATCTGAAGTATTTGACGAGTGACTGCTGTGAACTGAGCAGCCTGGAAAAGACTGTGACAGACGACTGGCAGGTGGAAACAGAAGCTAACTGAGCCGTCAACTCTCTCAGCATCTACACCGAGGCCAGATTCAAACATCGAGAGAATCTATGACAACATTTTCAGAAGAATAAATGTGATCGACACTTCTACCAGCTGGACGTTAATGCCAGGTCTCACCTGTGTGGCCTCCGTGACCGAGGCCAGCTGCAGGTATTCAGAGTTGCCCCATCCATACAGGTGCCCGTCTCTGCACACGGCCAGGCTGCAGTCTCCGTACGTGTTGACCTGCTGCACCTCGACGCCGGCCAGATCCCCGCCAACCTCCACCGGACTGGAGCTGACGCTGTGGTGACCCAAACCTGAAAGCAGAGGAAATGGACCAGAGCAAAAGAGAAGTAAATGTTAAACCCCTTCACATTTATTCCTATTCATAAAATAAAAAGTATTTCTGAGGTGTCTGATGTGGAATAAGGTAAAACTGAGTGTGTGTTAAACTTCACCGCAGTTGAAATAGCTTGTAAAGAAAAAATGGATGAATGGATTTCGAGGTTTACAGCTGCAGAGGGGCACATTTACAAATTTGCAATATCTGCTAAAACTTTCATTATGATCTGAAAGTTGTACAAGAGGCGGATAAAATTTGAAATTAAAGCTTGGTCCTCTGGCTCCACTCACAGCTCGTAAAGCAATTTGGAAGAATTCAAACCTTTTCAAAACCACAAATCAGCCCCACAAGGAGTCGATCCCTGTTCACGTTCACTTTCTCAATCTACACTAGTTTTGAAATCCTAACGTCTGCAGCCGAGACGTGTCCCATATGAAAACTGTCACAGTTTTTATGAAGAGCACTGACCCGTCTGTCCGTCTGCACCCCATCCACACGCAAACACTTTTCCAGTCTCGGTGAGGAAGAGGCTGTGGTCCTGCCCACACGCCACCTGGGAGAAAAGAGCTGCATCTTCAGTGGCCAGATCTCATTTGAATTTAAGCGTTAAAAGACGAGAAGAATATAAAAAGATTGTAAAGTAAAACACCCAAACCAGCATTTAGCAATTTTCAGACAAACTGGAAAATGTCTGGAACATTGGTTAACGTACTCTGGGTAAAATGTATTTGTGGATCAAAAGGTCTGGAACAGGAACAAGTGGAAGAGACACGCTACAGTAAATCAAATGTTCGGGAAAAGGCGGCGCTCACCTGGACGACCCTGCTGTCGAAGCCTTCTATCTTGTGAATGATGTGACTGCCGCTGTTTGAACATGAGACAAGAGGAATAACAGATCCATCATTCGAGGATGGCTTTGTTTCAGTCGTCCTTTAACATCCGTCTTGCTTTTACAGGACAATAGTTCACAGATACACACAATATATTCAATCATTTAGCAAAACACCAGCTTGTTTTTCCAGCAGGCTCATGCAGAGACTACTTAGACTGCTTCCAAACTTGATGGATGGAGACATGGACCAAGAAAGATCTCATTCCACTGTCTTAAACATTGTGACATCATCCCCCATGATTCAGGGAATCATTTATGTACCGAAAATCCGCAGCTGTCAAATGAAACTAAGCAGCAACAACTCAATGTTTGAGGACGCACCTGTAAACTTCATCTTCAACTATCCTCCTCCCACACTGGCCGTACGCGTTGTTGCCCATACTGAAAACTTGGGAGACAAACACAGAGCAGTCAGATATCAGCCTCTGATGGTTAGTCATGAATCCTCTGGTGTGGGCGGTGTGAGTCTCTTACCTCCCTCTTGATCAGTGAGCACCAGGGAGTGAGCTCGGCCACATGCGACCTGAATCACTCTGGTCTGTAGAGGCTCGACAAGAGGAAGAGCCAGCGGGGACGGCTCCAGGACGTAGTCGTAACTCCGATCTGCAGACGGCGTGAGAAAGTGTCGGAGGTAAAATATCTGGAAAACACTGGAATGTAGCTCCTGTAAACTGTACATGACTGTAAAAGGTCATGTTTCAAATCCTCTCTGGTCAAGGGAACATTTTCAGATTTTATAGTTTCCACAGCATGTGTGTCGTCAGCGCAGGTTCTCTTACGGCGGCTTTCCTGCGTGCGTTGGAAGCCCAGCTGAGAGTCCTTGTTCAGGCCCATGGCCCAAAGCTTGGACGCATCTTTGGTGGAGGAGGCGATGAGAGTGAAGCCGTAACCACAGGCAGCCGAGGAGATCTGCAACGTAAGAGGAGTTCAAACTTGTCATGGTCACAATTATGTTCTACAATGTTGACGATACTTGAATAAAGAGACAGATACTGCTCACAAAAACAAGTCAATTTTGATTTACACTAATCAAATGAAGCTGCAGTTATCGACACCACATCAGACTCTGTGGTTAGTGAGCAGAGGATGAAGCTTCATCCAGAGCGATGTTTTCACCTGCTCTGCGGTGTCCAGGCGATACGGAGTGAGCTGGTACTTCCGTGGAGTCTTCCTGCCGCTGTCCGGCACCACGAAGCTGGGGAGACCCAGAGCCCCGGTGAAGCTGAAGCCCCACACGAACACCTTGTGGTTGGGTTTCCTGTGCTGGCCAACGTACTGAAACACCGGACCGCCGCTGCTTCTCTCCTGGGGTCTGAACGCTTTACGGATGGTCGCATAGCCACAGACCTGAAGCCCCGCGCTCATGTGTCGAGAGCAGAGACGCACACAGGGAAGAGACATTCTGTAGAAAGAGAAGAGACAGGTTGGACTTCAGACAGATCTGAAATGTGCGATCCAAAAAACACAGGCCCTTTTTAAAAAATATATATCTTTACTATATTAATGACATGAAGTTTAAATATATTGAAAATATATAAGAGGAGATGATTCTTATCATATACTTTAATAGTTCTTTACCATCAGATTAAGTTAGATTTGGCTGCATTCAACACGTTTTACAATGCAGCCAAATCCCATTCACTTTAACCGTCAATTTAACGCTAGCTTAGTTTTACTCACACTAAATATTAAATACTGAAGAAACCAAACAGTCTAGAGAATTATAAGAGTCTATATGTGAATTCGGCGTGTAGCTAACGTCCTCAATAGCTCTACATTTTATCTAATTATCAATAATGTTCTAGTTTAGCAAGCTAAAGCTAGCTAACGCTGACTGGAAACCGACATCACGATTAGCAAGTGAAAGGAAGGTTAAAGTTTGAAATGATCACTAAACAAGTGACGTGTAGTTTGTCCTAATGACGCCGAATTGAAGAGAGGCTCCACAGAGTCGATGAAAGTGAATCCGACATGTCGTAGTAAAAAAACATTTCTGACAGCGACCAAGCGAACATTAAATTGTCAGGAATATTAATGGAGTTTGGCTTCGTGTTGTGTCCCGCATGCTGTGGATGAACGCACCTTCCCGCTCTCAGACTCGTTGTGAGTTTCACAGAATGAAAAACAAACTCAACGACGCAGGAACGAAGAGGAAACTGTTCAGATGTTGTTCGGTGACTTTGTCGCGTGTTTATTTTCCTGAAATCAAACTGACCCCGGAAGAGAAAAATATTTTCTTCTGCAAGTTCCTCCTCTGAACACGAGTATGTGGCGCCACCTACTGCACCGGATGACTGAGCACATTAACATAGAATAGAAACGTGATAAAAGAATAT